TTTGCTGTGTATGGACCCACAAGTATACTGGGTTTGTATTGCCTGCAGACTGTATACAGTGTGGTAAATCGTGCATACAAAGCAATTGCTTTGTTCCAAAACACACTTCCATTTTCATATTTAACTGTGTAAGCTAGAGCTCACGTTACGTCTTCCAGTTGGGCTCCAGCTTTGAGGAGCAGTCCTGTGTGCGAAAGCCACTGCAGATGCCGGTGCATTTAGTGGTGTGCTTAGGGGCTTTAGGCTTTTTGCAGAGACAGCCTGCTGTTCTCCGAAGCATTCCTCCATTCCTCTGTCAGACCGATGTTAGAGGGGACTTCAGTACATACTCCCTATGCCAACGTGGAAAAGGCAGCTTGTAAACGAGTCAATTTACAGCTTGGAGACAACGGATGCAATGTCCAGACTGGAACCAGGATGTCATTCAGTCAGGATTGTGGCAGGGAGGAAGGGACATTCTCATAGCAGAAGATCAGGGATGGGTGAGGAGTCTTCCATGAGCTGACCTGTGTCTCTGTTAGATGGGACCGTGTTGTGGCTGTGGCAGAAACTCGTGCTGACCCCGGTATGCTCTTCCACAGCTCTGCCCCAGAGTAATCTCGGGGTTGTAAGGTGGTCCGAGGACTCCCAGCGTCACTGTCACAAGCTCAAATGACTTGCCATTAAAGCTATGAAGGGGTGGAGGGAGGTGTTCTTAAATGCAGCTAGTTAGCTTTTGGCTAATGTGGTTTTCTCTGATGTATGTGGTCATGAGCTCTCCTCTTCCTGCTCTGTTTCTGCAGCTGAACCAGCCTTTTCCTGAAGCTCCACACAGTCCCTGATACAAAACCAAATGTGTCATAAAACCCTGAGTGAGTTTTGTGTCCTCTGTGATAACGCTAAGGGCATTACTTGCTCTTGGGTGACATAGCTGCTTGATTGGCTTGGCGAGTCTATTTTTAAGGTCCCGTTTCCTGATGGTAAAGGTGACCAGTTGACCAGTTTTTATGGATGCTACGGAGAAGTAAAAGGTTGAAAGGTGTCCCTGCTCCGGCAAAAGTTAAAAATGGATTCAGAAAATTAGCCTGTGTGTGTGTTATGTTCCGTGGGCGTGGAGAAGTGTACGTCTGAGGTGGTGTTTTTACATTCGAGCAGCTCACTGAGGCTCCATCATCTTTGCAGCATCTCTGTCTGTCAGCTCACGTCTGAGTTCCTGTTGCTTTCTTCAGGTAGTGTTTGAACCATGAAGGGTGTTAACGCAGTGTGTTCGCCTCATTGTTGTAACTGGCTGACTTAAATTTGTTTCTGCTTTTCCGCACACTACCGAGATGTTCTCATCTGAGTCTTGTGAGAAGATGGCAAAGCCTTTGTCCATCTTCCTTAGGCATTCAGGCCTCTTCCAGCTGATGGTTCCAACAACCGTGGGGGTTAAATGTCATAACTTTGTGCTATGCACCTCAAAATTATCAGAGATACGAGTTCCAAAACAACTCTCAACCCCTTTTTGTGGTTTGTTCCAGGCACAGCTGCGAGCTTTCATCCCCGAGATGCTGAAGTATTCCACAGGTCGTGGGAAACCAGGCTGGGGCAAGGAAAGCTGCAAGCCCATCTGGTGGCCTGAGGACATCCCGTGGGCCAACGTTCGCAGCGATGTCCGCACAGAGGAACAGAAGCAGCGGGTGTGTATCCCGTGTCTGTCTGCCTTTGAATTGAATACAGGGGCTTGCGACCAGTTTTTGTGGGAATAGTTTTCCTCTCGAGTGACACGTGAAACTCTGACATCAAACCTTCCCTTGACGTTGTGTCAGACATTCAGCCTGGGAGAGCACTGAGATGAGAGGGGGATAACCTGCAGTCTGCTCTGTCCCTGCTGGGTTTGTGTGACGAGAGTTTGAACATCTTTCTGCAGCAGGTGCCCTTTTCGCTGGCTGCAGAACCTGCTGTACTCTGTGGCCTCATGAAGCAGCCTAAGGCAAGTCAACTCTCCAAATGTGCAGCTCATTTACCATAAGAGTCTGTACCGTGGCCTCTTGAAGCCTTTGAAGGGATGCAGTCCCATCCTGGAGTGCTGCATCCAGCTGTGGGGCCCCCAACATCAGAAGGGTATTGACCAGCTGGAGCGAGTCCAGAGGAGGCCCTGGAGATGCTCCGAGGGCTGGAGCCCCTCTGCCCTGGGGACAGGCTGGGGGAGTTGGGGGGTTCAGCCTGGAGAAGGGAAGCTCCAGGGAGACCTCAGAGCCCCTTCCAGTGCCTGGGGGGCTACAAGGAAGCTGGGGGGGCGTTTCCCAAGGGCAGGGAGTGACAGGACCACGGGGGACGGGTTTAACTGGGAAGAGGGAGATGGGCCATCAGGAAGGAATTCTTCCCGCAGAGGGTGGGAGCACTGGGACAGGTTCCCCGAGAAGCTGTGGATGCCCCATCCCTGAGAGTATCCAAGGCCAGGCTGGATGAGGCTTGGAGCACCCTGGGCTATGGAAGGTGTCCCTGCCCATGGCAGGAGGGGTGAACTCGGTGATCTTTCTGGTCGCTACCAACCCAAACCATTCTACAATTCTGAGCAGCAGGGACCTTTGTACTTCAAGTGAAGCAGTCAGGGATGTGCAGTGGAGCCAGGAAAAGAAGAGACAACCGTGTGAAAAGGTCTTGGCTATCAGTTATGACCCTGGATGCAGCTGATGTTCCTACCAACCTGTCACAAAACTGATTAAAGCAAGCTACCAGGGTGTGCAAGTGGCAGGACTTGTGCAGGCTGATGTGGGTCTGGGTGGGCGAGGAGGGGTGCCAAGTGAGGCTGGCAATGGTGCTGTGGCAGTCGATGCCTTCCTACTTAGGGGTGGTTTTCTACTTGTCGGCCCAAATCCCTTAGTTAGAATTCCTTGAAAGCTGACAAAACAGGTTTCACTGGGGAGCTTCCCTTTCCCTTGGCCAGACGTGCTTGTTGTGTTTCAGTACACAGCAGTGCAGTAGTTCTCCAGGTTCATTTCTGAGCATTGGGGAAAGGAGGGGATGAGGAGAGAGGGATTAGGTACTGGGGCTTTCTCTTTGTTTAAGAATTTGCTGAAGCCTGCCCAGTAAACCCCAGTAAAGTTACACATGCAGGTGGCAGCCGTAGCAGCGGTGCAGTGCTTCAGAAGCTTTTTTCACGCTGACTCTTCGCTCTTGTCCATCCTGCTGGTAGGTGTCGTGGACCCAAGCGTTGCGGACTATCGTGAAGAACTGCTACAAGCAGCACGGGCGTGAAGACCTGCTCTACGCATTTGAGGACCAGCAGACGCAGCAGCAGACTACGACCACACACAGTATAGCGCACCTCGTGCCATCCCAGACGGTGGTACAGACCTTCAGTAACCCTGATGGCACCGTCTCCCTCATCCAGGTGAAAGAAACCCTCCGGCTTTTCCACTTCCGCCACGGCTAACTTGGGATCAAGTTGCCTGCATTGGGGAGGTGGTTTAGACAAACTCCTTTTGGTGGCTTAACGTGTCCTTCAAGAATTTTGTCTTTATCTGTATGTCTTAGCCCGCAGGCTTGTTAACCCAGCGCTCCCACCTGAGGAAGCAGTCTCATCCTCGCTCTTCCCCACTCCCATCCCCTGTTCTCCTGTTGCAGCAGGTACAAGCATTTCTGCAGCTGTTTGGTCAAACGATTCAGGGATCTGACCTGAGTTTAATGAACCCGTTGATGAGTAAATACGTGATGTGGCCACACGACGTCTGTGGTGGCAGTGGGATGGAGTCATGGGAGGAGAGGTGGTGGCACTGCCTTTTTTTAACGGCATGAAAAATAGTTTAACGTACAGCATGGGGTATTTCTGTGGCCCCTGTTCTTCGCTTTACACCTAAAGTGTAACGTGTGTATATTATACCCAGCAAATACGTGTTTATCCTCGTGATGCTCCCCTGGTTAGGATGCCCCGAACGCCGGTTTACAGAGGGGCACTCGGGGCAGAAGAGGCTGCATTCAGGCAGTGGCTCAGTGGTGCTGCTCTTTTCCCTGCGTTCCCTGTGTGGGGAGGCAGGTTCTGGCAGCTCAGGATGTCAAAAATGTAAGTGTTGTCTTCAGACTTCCCAAAAGCCCCTTGTGGGTGTGGGATATGAACTTCCCCTGTGCCCCTGCCTCCAAACCACCACTGCCCCTTGTACCTAAATGGCCCAGCGGTTTGTCCCTCTTCAGCATCACGTTTTTGGTGAAATCTCAAACATAATTTTCTCTGGGCTGTTATCTCCCAGCCATGAAGCGAAGAACATGGTGTGTGGGTGGGTTTTTTCCCTCAAATTAAAGATTTTCAGGGGTTGTTGCAGCTTTCTCTTCCCCCCAGCACGGCCTAGCAGACTTGCCAAGCGGGTTCTGTTTGCTGACCTGCTAATACACATTTTCCCTTTGACTAGTGTTCTTTTAAGTGCCGGGCACCTGGGATCCCATGGACTTTCTGGCATGTGTAGGTTTAATTCTCCTTAGGAACAAAGCTACACATCTCTCTCCCTTTGTCTTTTCCCAGCTGTTAAATGGGGAAAAGGTAATTTCCAAAGGCAGTGAGGTATTGAGGATGAGTAATGTTTGCCAAGTTCCTGGAGATGAGAGACCCAGTGAATGGTGAGCCAAGAGGGGACAGCACGAGGGCTGTGCAGAACTTCTGGGCCATTCTGGAAGCTGCCAGAGATTAGCGTGGCTCTAGCGTATGACTTCCTGCCCCAGCCCTTTGAGTCAGCTCCGTGTGTTCTGTGAGCTCTGCAGTTACTATTACTCTGTAGGTGCGATGCTTTTTCATCTGAGAGCACTTGTGTGTCCCTCTGCCTGAATTACGTGGACGTTTTCCTGCGGTAACCAAGGTGCTCAGCTGCATTTTGTCGTCTTCCGCAGGTTGGCACTGGTGCTACAGTTGCCACGCTGGCCGATGCCTCCGAGTTGCCTACCACAGTTACCGTCGCACAAGTCAACTATTCTGCCGTGACCGATGGAGAGGTAAGGGCCTGGGTCGCGCTCGTGGTGCACAAGCCACAGTTCTCCTGTCTGAGCTTCAGTGAAGTGTTTTCTAGAATTACGTGGTCACAGAAAACACCGAGCCTTGCTTCCTCACCCTGCAGTGTTGAGGGTTAACACAGAGGTGAACAAGAGACTGTAGAATTTCATAGAGAAAGTGCTGAACTGATGTCTTTTTGACTCGGGACTGTACGAATGCAGTTATGGCGCAAGCCTCAGCTCTCGATTTGGTACATTTTTGGTATCTCCTATAGGTGGATTATTTTTTGACATCTGCTCTAGCAGATAAAGACTGGATGGCCTAGGCAAGTACACATCTTTGTACTGAGCAGCTCTTTCATCTGGGCTGTAGATCCTGGGTGCTGGTTTGTCAGTTCAGAGTTGGGAGTGATGCCTGGAATATCTTTATAGCCCCTTCCAGTGCCTGGGGTGCTACAAGAAAGCTGGGGGGGCTTTTCCCAAGGGCAGGGAGTGACAGGACAAGGGGTGATGGGTTTCACCGAGAAGAGGGAGATGGAGATGGGCCATGGGGAAGGAATTCTTCCCGCAGAGGGTGGGAGCACTGGGACAGGTTCCCAGAGAAGCTGTGGATGGCCCATCCCTGGGAGTGTCCAAGGCCAGGCTGGATGAGGCTTGGAGCACCCTGGTCTATGGAAGGTGTCCCTGCCTGTGGCAGGGGGGGGGGGTGGGGGGGCTATAAGGGCCCCTCCAACCCCAACCACTCCATGATTTTGAGCCTGTGGTAAGCAAAGGATGTTTCACGTCTGTGGGCAAATGCTGTGATTCTTTGGCTACTGATCTCGGGACAAAATGGGACTGTTCTTTGCTGCAGCGTTTAGGGAGGTTTGAAAGTAAATCCCAGAGAGCTCAATAAATGCACAGTGGTGTGGAGACAACAGGAGTCACCACGGAGTTACTGTTCTGTTTACTGTGAAAGTTTCTTTCGCTGCCTTACGATGTGGCAACGTTGCTTCTGTCTGACGTGATCAGACCATTTCAGTCCCCAAATCTGAAGGCTCAAATTTACATTTTTCCACTTCTTTTTAATAATCATGTAATATTTTTTTTCTATGCGTTTAAGCAACATTCTTTTAAGATGTTTGGGGTTTTTTTTACCCTCTTCACTCCCAAACCCTCCTTCAAACCAGGCTGCGGGTTGTTTTCTGTCCCTTGGCGGCACACTGGACGGCCAGTCTGTGTGCAGAGAGGGCTGCTGCGCTCTGCGTGGACGGGGATTTCACAGCGACAGGTGGCAGCACAGAACAGCTTTGCTCTGCTGAAACCAGACCCTGTTTCCTTCTCAGACCCACTGGGAAACAGCCTGGCTCTGGGGCCATGACCTTGAAGTACTTCGGAGCTGCTTTAAGAGTTTTCAGAACCAGCTGTATCGCTCGAGATCCAAAAGACCTTTTTCAAAGGCACAAATAGAAATCAAGGGGACAAAAGCATCAGATTCTAATGGGAACGCGATGTCTAAGCTGTATCTTAGGCAAAATAAAGATACAGAAGTAAACCTGCTTTGAGGAATGGGTGCTGCTTCTCTGCACAGATCCACAGCCTGTCTGGGGTGTTTTTGTCCTGCTGTCTCTTGCTGTGTAAGGATCTGAGTTAGCTCCGAGTAAGCAGATGTGTTTATAGAACGCCAAGTAGTGTGGAGCAGGGATGCTGACTAGTATCTCGGCAACACAACCTTCCTGTTAGTGTGGACAATGGCCTGGACAATCCCCACTTCTTTTCCAGGCTTTACTCTGTCCCATGGGCATCTTTGCGGGGTGCTGTATGTCACAGTGGACACCTGCCTTATCATTCAGATGTGTGTTGCCATGTATTTGATGAAACATGTCTGTTCCTTGTTCTGCCTGGTGATGGGAAGGGTGTCATCCAGCTCCGTTGGGGTCTGGCACGGCTGACGAGCACCACAAGCTCGGTCTGTCTCTCGAGGTCTCTACCATCTGCAACTTACCCCTCTCTGGGCACTTGAACTTGGTTGCATCTTACCTAAAAGGTGTTTTCTTCTCTAAAATCAACTTCTTTCTCTTTCTTGCAATGCACTATCTCACTATATCTTCCCTGCTTTGGATCCTTCCACCCAGGGTCAGCTCTGGGCAGAGGAGAATGCAGCAGTTGCCTTGAACGTCAGACGGCTGGGAATGGCTAAAGAGCTACGAGTGCCAGCTTTGCTTGTGCCCAAGTTCTGGAAAACCAGGTTGACAGCTGCTGAGGAGTGTGTGATAGAAGATGTGAGTGAGAGTGTGACAGGTTCTCTCTCCCTCTCCATTCTGTGGTGGGACTAACCCTTTTCTTGTCCAAAGGCAGAAAAAGTTACTTGGCCTTTTGTGGGAAGCCTTTAGGCAGATTGGATTCTGTAGACTTTTTAGCTTTCTCTATTTTAGCAAGTTGAGGGCTTCTTTTTCATCAACTCCTATGGCATTCTTATTTACGAGTCTCGGCAAGATGGTGGGGCGAGAACAGTGACGAGGGAGGGGGCAGGATCTTCATCTTGCAGAACAGCCAGTAGAATTCATCAGCCGATGGGCCTTCATCCTCCACTTCTTTACTTTTTCTGGTCCAATAAGTATTTCTAGTTCACATCCTGGTTGATTTGGTGGTCTTGCACTCGTTATCTCATGAGCTGTGAAGGCCCAAATGGAGAAAAGTGGGATAGCGGGAAAATGGGCAACTGAGGCTGAGGGAATATTAAGTAATATGGAACATATCTACGTAAAGGTCTGAGGTGAGGGAACTTAAAGTACCTGAAAGACTGTACTTTCCATCTTCTTTTATTACGTATATTGCTTCAGCACAAAGAAATTCCAGTTGGCTTAAACTCATCTGAGCTCTGTACAAATAAATCCTGATCAGGAACACGGGCTGTTCCCCAAAATGACAGTGGATGCAGAAAAATAGAAACAGGGAGGCAAGTGCAGCCCGTTTCCCGGCGGGACGTGATCCGTGCGGGGGTTCCAGCACTGCAGAAATGCAGCTACTGCCCGGGCAGTGATGCCAGCACAGCGATGATCAACGCTGTCCCAGCACTGCGGACGTGGCTGAACAAGAGGGATTTGTGGGAGGTTGAGGGGCTTTGCAGATTTATGGGGTGCTCTTCCCATGTGTGTGAGAAAACCAGAGTTCTTGTTTGAGGATCAAACATATGGAAATCGGCGATTAAAATCGTGGCCCGACTAGAGAAACTCACTCATGGCTGATAGAGGGTTGTAGGGTCCAGAAATGTTCTCAGTTGGATCTTGGGCTTCCTCCCTTTTTCCCCTGTCTCTCAGTCTCAGAGCATGTGCAGGATTCTGCAAAGACCTCTTGAAACTATCTGGCTCTTTCATTTTAGGAAGCAACTGTGCATTCATGGGATAACATCCTATCCTAGAGCCTGTGGTTTTGTTTTTCCCCATAGGTGGAGCAGAACTGGGCAACGCTACAGGGGGGCGAGATGACCATCCAGACGACGCAGGCATCCGAGGCCACGCAGGCGGTGGCATCGTTAGCAGAAGCGGCAGTGGCAGCGTCTCAGGAGATGCAGCAAGGAGCAACTGTTACCATGGCGCTCAACAGGTACGGGTGAGAGACCACGGCTTGAAGCGTGCCTGCATGACATTTCCTTGTAGGTTTTCGCCCGAACGGTGCTTGGAAATCCCAAGCACAAGCACAGGC